CCCAGCTTATCCAGAAGATCGCAAAGTGTTGGGAAAAAATACATGTCATCGACATTGAGTTCGTCAACTATGCGGTAGACGATTACGATGCCCCCTAAAGGTTTTGCAAAAGTATCCAGTTTCGTAGGAACGACTAAGACAGGAGAAAACCATTGGATATACGGAATGACAAATTAGGCTCTGGTTTAGCATTTTGTTTATTTTCTTTGTAGAAATGAAGGTATCTATAAGATTTGGTGTATACCGGTTTGGCGTGTCAATGAGGTTGTAAATGTACACATTGTGAAGATCTTTGGTGGCGAATGGAACAAACTTAGTGAAGATTCACGTTTTATAGAGTTTTTCATCAGTGATACCTAGGAAAGTCACATTCTCAGGGGAAAAACTGGGAAAATTCTGCACTGTGTTTTTTTATGCAAATCCTGGCACAAATACACAAATACTGGCACAAATACAATGAACAGTTTGTAGCTATTTATTGGAAGGAAAACTTGTTCTGAAAAATTATGGTTAGGATTCATTTTGTTGTTTCTGAGTCTGGAGTCTGGACATACGAATTTTCTGAAGAGTAGTTTCTGGTGAATCGTGAATGCATGAGGGTATCAGAAATCCTGGTTTTTCTCTGGTTAAAATAATAATTGAGATTTCTTTTGCAGAGTAGTATTTGATTATATTGGCACGAAAAGACTTTGGTTTTGGTTTTTTATATTGTTAAATATTGGTTGTTGGTTGCTGATTGGAAGTAGTTGAATAGGTTCCTGTGTTCGATGCTCTATGAGAATTTTTATTCGGATATTGCCCTTTTAATGATCAAAGTTAAGCACAGATCTTCAATCGGAATGTTTAACCTTTACATCTAACAATGACAAAATTTATAATAGCCCATCAACTCTATATAGTAGGCTTTGGTCAATACTGTCCGCCCAAGATAAGAACACCGGTTAAAAGAGTTTGAAGAATTTAAGTTCATAGAAAACATAGTACACTCACTACAAAAAAATGTTTTCTATGAACTTAAATTCTTCAATTTTTTTTTACCGGTGTTCTTAACTTGGGCGGACAGTAGTTACTCCCTCTCTGAACGTATGAACGTGAAGACCTAACGTTAGATGGTAGAAAGTTGAAGGCTTTTTTGGCAAAATAAACAGAAGACTCTTTCACTAAGGTGCTTCTGGGAATTGGCAGTGAAATACTATTAGCTTGCCTCGTGGAATAGTGCCGTGCCGAAGAAAGTAGGTCATAGTACAGTATAGACCAGGCAAACACTTTCGAGTATAAAGAAGCATGGCATAGTCAAAATTCTATGAGAAATAAAGCTAGGTTTGCAAGATTTTCGGAAGGGGACTCTAAGCACAAACCTAACGGGTCTATTTTGTAAAATAAATATAGAGTTGAAATTTTTAGTACTGCAACAGCCCAAAAATGCAATTCTAAAAGTAATATGTGTGACTACCAGAAAAAAAATATGAAGTCCTGAGAGCTCGCGGCTCTAACTGTTCTGAGAGCACTCTCAAAGGATAACAGCTAGATGTTAACCTACTAGAGAGTGCCATAATATGCTGCTCAAATTAAACTTGAGAGTCCTCGTCCACTGTAACTTCAAGAAACCTAGCCCAGGCGGTGGGATGAATAGAAGCACCACATAAGGAGATATTGGATAATGAGCACTTGAAGTTCAACATATTGGTCTTATGGAAGGATAGATTGTTGCTGTCACACCAGGTTTTAATCAAATCTAAATCGACATTAATCATGCGTTCCAAGACCGAAAATTCTCCACTGTTCGCATGCCAGACAATCGACTTGTCGTCAGCGAAAAGTCTAATACTTCCCCCGAGCCTGAGAGGCAAGATCATTGATAGACAAAAGGGGACCAAGGATAGAGCCCTGAGGCACACCACAGTTGTTGCCTATTTTATCCAAAAGCTCGCCCCTATATGAAACTACCTGCTGACGATCACTTAAGTACGACTGAAACCAATTTAGAGTCATGCCTCTAAAACCATACGCTTCAAGCTTACGGAGCAACACAAAATGATCGACACAGTCGAAAGCTTTCGACAAGTAGTCACAAAACACCGTTGCTGAAAGGTGATTCTCATTTGTTCTCAAAGAGATATCTTCCAGAAGGGAGAATATCGCATCAGATGTTCCTTTGCCATTCTGAAATCCAATTATCGGAAAGTTACCTGTTTAGATTAGGGAATGAAAGAACTCTAATTTTGACCAGTTCTCAATTAGCTTACCAAGCGAAGGAAGAAGAGAAATAGGACGGAAATTTGCTGGAGAGTCTGAGTCTCCCCCTTTGTGAAGAGGTACAACCACTGCATGCTTACGGATATTAGGCAATATACCCTTGTCAAAGGAATCATTTATTGCATCTCCAAGCGCACGAAAACCCCTTATCGTTAAGGGGTTTTTGGAGTCAAATTTTATAAAAAATAGTAACTGTCTTTTGGTAAACAAAAAAGATCTTCATTTCAATTTCAAAATATTTGACGATAGCCTAGAAGTACATTTTGATTTTCAACACTTCAAATAAAAGCATCAAAGGATGGGAAAACATCATATTGTTATAAACCCGCCACTCGTACTTTTTGATTGCCCCCTGTAACTACAGTTAAAGAAGCCAAAAAATTCGACTATTTTCAAGATGAATTAAATCACGAAAATTCGATCGTGTTAGAGAAGGACGCACATAACTAGAAAAGCCACGGAGCGCACCGCGTTAGGATCAGTTCTGATTGACGTACGACAAGTGCAGTAAACTGTAAAGTCAGGAACTAAATAACTAAATAAAGAAGTTGAACTGAAAATCTGTCAGGATATTTTAAAAACACGCCAAATAAAGACACAATTGTACCCATTGTAAGTACTACATCAGCAATACACTGGAAAATCGAACTTGCACCGTAGAATAAATTGAACATTCATGTAAGAGGAAAATATAACTGTGCTGAACTAACTAAAGACCTCAATCCTATGAGATTTGCCAAAAACTAAAAAAAAAATGCCGTAAAAGTCTTAGCACATAAACCCCGAAAACAGGCTTTGAAAGGATTAACATTGATCTCCTAATTAGCAAAACAAGGCTCTAATCATCACGAAACTCACCCAAGCCATTTCGAATAAAAAAGCATCTTCCATAAATATTCCTGTTATTATTAAACACTAGTCACTCTCTTAAAATTACATTGCGATCAAGGTAAAGAGTTTAATAACTCCCTTCTCAAATATCTATGACATCAAATTCCCATTTTTGAGTCAAATGATTGGAAAATTCCTAGAAATTACGTAGCATTTATAAATCTATAACAAGCAATTTAAGATTCTTCAGACTGCGGAAAATTTGACATGTATAGATAAATTACCAGATGATGAATAAAAACTTCAGAACCTGTTCCAAAGGTAATTATCGGTTTCTCCGGTAATCAAAAGCATCAGCTCCACTCTGCAAAAGCTACAAATTATTGATGAGGCAATATTCAATGAAATTAAAAAAAAAAACTACATGGTATTTCAGGTCAAGTAGGAACCCTAAACCTTTGTATGAAAAGCTACATTTTTATAGAAGAGACTCTTGATGTCCTGAATGCGATTACACCATAGCGCCAATAGATTTGGTAGTATTAATCACTTTTTTACAACATGGAAAGAACAAGAGTTTTTTTAAGACAACGTTTACTCAAGATCAAAAGCATTGTACACCGGAGACTGCGGCTGGCCAAACGTAGTAGAGGTAGATCATTAGAATATTGGCTGGATGACCTCAAGAAGATGGTGGAGGAAAATGGCACCAATTAGCCCAAAATAGACAGAACTGGGAAATCTGAAAATGAAGAAGCTGAGGAAAGAAACAGGTCGTTTGTTTATCCGAGTACAAACCGGAGGAGTATTTCAAGAGAGATTATTTAACCAGCGCAAATTCTGCAATCATATTATTGTTTGAATAATATCGACCAAAATATCCAGTCCTAATTTATTAATTGCTAAAACCTAATTATTTCCAATATAAGTTTAGTAGTTTTGAAACAGCCTAGACGTTCTGTTTGTATAATTTTCGAAACAACTGCATACAAAATTAATAAAAAACTTAATTCCACTAAATTAAATTTGTCCATTAGCCTTTGTACTAACTCCGTTGTCCTTCTTTGGTCGGTCGGTGGTCCGAACATACCTCTGCCGCCGCCGGCGGTGTGACAGAGACGGCGCTAGAGCCTCGCGCAGAGCAGTTCTGCTCCGCCGGCCCGGGCCTGTTTTCTCCGGGGTCCCGGCGGATCGAATCGATATACGCCGGACTCGCCCGATCGGCAGCCACCGGAGCCTCCGGGCGTCCTGGAAGGATTTCGGCCGGATCGCGGAAGATCGGTTATCAGTCTTGCTGTCGAACCCATCTTCGAGGAGGATGCACAAAGTGCTTTGTTGTGCCGTCGATCTCGAATCGATGGGTTACTGTCTGTTTGATTTGACTGACAGCAATGGTTTATCATTTGCGATATATTTACAGACGGTTGAGTCATTATCTATACTTGACACATCAAGAATTAAATAAATATTTCTGATACTGCAAAACCGCAAGTGCTTCCTTTATTTGTAAGTCCGTTGCAACAAGATTGATCCAGTTTTTTTTTTCTGGAAAAAAGAGTCGCCCGAAGTCGTATAACCATTCCTATGAATATCTCAGGAATCTCCGGTATTACACAAACGTACACTGCAATAAAATTGAAAAATTTAACGGCATTTCTGGTGCTAGCGGACGAAAGAGTCTAAGTTATTCACTTGCTTTTCTTTATATTCTAGTTTAGTCGAGATGCTTTAGGCCCCGATCGTACACTGGAGATGAGTTTATACGTAAACAGACCACGCATTATTTTTTGTTTGCAGAGAAACTGTTATTTACTCTCTGAATGTAGTATAATGCATATAATCATGCATATAAAAATTGCCCTGCGAATGGAGAAATATGTTCAAAATGTGAAGTTAAAGGTCATTATTCCAAAATGTGTAGATCGAAGTTTGTTAAAAGTGTAGAAGTTAACAGCACTGATATCGAAAGCGATGAATTATCAAATGAGAAATTATGTGAAAATGCTGAGAGAGATTCTTCATATTATAATTCAAACATTGCAAAAATTAGAAATATATCGCATGTTTCAAAACCATCGACAGTAAATTTAAATATTTTTAATGACGATGTATGTTTCAAAATTGATTCTGGTGCAGATGAAACTGTGATAGCTACAAAAACTTACAGGAATCTTAAAAAAAACAAAGATTTAAATTTGGAGTCAATAGAAACACGGTTGATGGGTCCAGGTGATGCAGAATTAAAAGTAAAAGGTATAATTAAAGTGCCACTTATAAAATGTAATGGTGTTAAGAGGCATGTCAAAATGTTTGTAGTGAGAACCAGTGAGAATTTATTAGGTCGCCCAGTTATTGGAAAATTAAAAATGATGTAGTGGGCTGTATGAGAATCAGAATTTAGTAATGAAATCGGATTTAAAAGAAAAATATGGTAAAGTTTTTAGTGGACTTGGCAAGTTGAATGATTTTGAATATTCTATTAAATTAAAAAGAAATTTGAACCAGTGACAGCCAGACGCGTACCATTGCTTTTACTGGAGACTGTACGGTTAGAGCTTAATGGTATGGTAAAAAAGATGATATTAAGAAAATCAACGAAGCTACAGAATTGTGTTCCCCGATGATAATGGTTAAAAAATTCAGTGGAGTAAGAATTTGCACGGATTTTATTGAATTAAATAAGTTTATTGTCAGAGAAAGATTTGTTTTGCCAACAGTAGAAGGAACACCAGCACAGTTGCAAGATGCTAATTTTTTTTTTATAATTAGATTGCAATAAAGGATTTTGGCAGTTAATGCTTAGTAAACAAAGCCTAAAATATACTACATTCATAACACGATTCGGCAGATTTGGTTATAAAAGATTACCTTTCGGCATTTGCAGTGGTCCAGACATTTTTCAGAAAACTTTGAAGAATATATTTATGCAAGAAGGCTTGAACGATGTGATTGTTCATACTGCATATGTATGTTTGATATATTTGTTGTACCAGCAACTTATATGACACATAATTAGTTGTTGTCAATTCGAATGTCAAATAGAATATGAAAATATTGTTCTGCAAAACCTAATAGTTTCTATTACATATTACATGGTGGCAGCGTAAACCTACCGCTTAACTTTAACAGAAACTATTACCATTTGTAGGAGCATAGAATCCAGTATCAATACACAGAATATTATAAATAACAAAACTCATACAAGTAGTGATAATAATGTCAATGTCAATGCCATTTCACAAAATACCAAACATAAAAATTCAAATTTCAATTCTGAAGAATTTTGGTGTGGCGGGAACCAAACACAAGATACCAAGAAGAGAATATGGCTCCACGGGTGGCTTTTGGGGGAGGCGGAATGAATGTTTGGGCAGGGGTAATGTGGAATGGAAGAACAGAATTGTTTCTCTCACTTGAAACAGTGAAGGCTGTGCGATACAGAAACAACGTACTACTGCCTATTGTGAGAAATTTTTTTTTTTCGGTTTTTGTCATAAGAAACAATGTGTTGGAAAGAGAACTTTCTCAGTTTCCTTACAGATATAAAGTCCTTTTCTTACACATTGCTTCTTATGAAAAAAACCGAAATAATTTTTTCCTACGAGCGTGCGCAAAGTAGTACTTTTCCGCACGCATTTCCGGGCTCAAAGTTACACTTTTCCGCACTCAGTGCGGATACAGGCCTTATCCGCACTGAGTGCCGAAAAGTAATTATAATTGTCAAGCAACAATAAGTGTACCTGTCGACTTTGACACATGATGACAAATTTTTTCTCTGTTTCTATATCAGCCAACATCTATACAAACACCAAATATAAATTAATTTGACACATTGTCAGATTTGTTCTCTATTTATATGCAAAAATCTACAAACTTTCTCATCAAATTTAAACGCTTTAAGATGAACAGCTTTGACGAGGATTTTCTGTTATTTTTTTGTTATGTAATTTTTTGATAAATGCATAGGTTCCATTCAAGTTAATTAAAAATAATTAAACAAATTATCGTTTTTTTTTTAAATTTTTGTTATTACCTACCTGATATGAAGCTCGTAGGAAAAATTTTGTTCCTAACACGTGCGCAAAGTGTCTTTTCCGCACGCAAACACGTATCCGAACTCCGCTTCGCGTCGTTCGTATAACTGTGTTTGCGTGCGGAAAAGTAACACTTTGCGCACTTGTTAGGAAAATAACTATTTTCTAGTTGCGTGCGCAAAGTAATAACTTTGCACACTCATTTGCGTGCGCAAAGTTGAACTTTGCGCACGGAAACTCTTTGCGCACTCATTTTTGTTATTCATAATTGCCATAGTTATACTTGATTTTTCAATGTTTTGATGGTTTCTGAATAAACTAATATTCAAAATGAAAGCTTTTAATTGAAATTAACTCTTAGTTAACATGATGTTTCTTATCAAAGGTGTCCAAATTGGACCAGTCTGTACTGCTAGAAATTTGTAAAATTTTTGATATTTAAGAGACTCTCATGAAAATATTCTTGCTGATTCTAGAAATTCCAGAAGATGTGAAATGATTTTTGGGTATTTAATTTAAAAAACATTCTGAGGAATTCCAATGGATTTTAAATGATTTTTGAAGATTTTGTTTTGATTGATTTTTCTAATATTTTAACAATTCAGAGTCTACTTTTTCAAGATACTGGTAGAAAAAATATTGTTCCTAACACTTGCGCAAAGTCTCTTTCCCGCACTCAAAGCTTATCCGAACTCCTCTTCGCGTCGTTCGTCTAACTGCTTTTTCGTGCGGGAAAGTATCACTTTGCGCACTTGTTAGGAAAATAACTATTTTTCTCGAAAACTATTAGAGATAAACCTATCGAACTTTATATCATCGAAATCAGAAAAAGCAGAGCTTTCCAATGAGCTATTAATATATAGGTTGTCCTATTGAAAAAAAACAGACTTTGGTCAATATCTCAGCGTTGGGACCAACTAGAAAAAAACTGAGAGCCTCGCTGAATTCTGTTTGAAAAAGTGCTTCAAGAAAGTTTTTATGGAAATCAATCATTTTCATAAACAAAAAAGTTATGATGGTTTCACATTATTGCTCAAAATCGAGAATCGCCCTCTAGCGGCTAAACGGTTTGAGATATCAAAATGCGGTTTGCACCAATCAAAATTTCATAAAATTTGAGCCTCAGAGTGGGGGGTTCATTTTTTTTCTATCTCTAAAAATAAAGGGTGTTTCCATAAGAAAGTGTCCAAATTGGCCCACCCTGTACAGATGGATCATCAGACTTTATTTGGAATTGTGAAAAATATGATTGAAGATTTATCTCCAAGATTATAAAGGCTTATGATCAGGCTATTACGTTATAATACGTTAATTTATGTTCCTGGAAAAAAATTACAATTAGCTGATTTGTTGAGTAGAAAACCAAATAATGAGTCTTTTGACACTACAAATTTAGATGAAAATTCAATTATAGCTACTTCTGATGAAAATGTTCAAAGGATAACAAATAAAACTAATAATGATGCTATTTTAAAAACAATTAAATCATATATCATTAATGGATGGGCTCAACATAAGGCAATTATTAAAAATTCGGAATTGAAAAAATATTGGTGTATTAGACATGAAATATTTACACATAAAGACGTACTATTTTTCAAACTCAAAACTTTTTACGATTAGAATTTTTATTTTCTACTCAACTATTATAGATCCATAATTCCTAGGAAACGAAATACGTTAACATACCTATAACAACCTGATCCATAACGCTCGCTTTTGCGGGCGTTATGATCTATAACGCCCTGAGATGTTTTTGTTGTAGTTTTATTAATTTGCACTTTACCCTAGGCAGCCACTAAATGTCTGACCGAAAATAATTTTCGGTCTAGCCAGGATTCGAACCCGGTTTACCATCAACGTTTCCCATGTAGTCCAGCGCGTTAACCCACCGTTGAGATATTTATAGATATATTAATTTATTTCGATTCTAGGTACAGGTCATAGGTACGGGTACAAGTCACAGGTACAGGTACAAAACAATATTCTGTCACACAAATTTAACTGATTTTGTTATTAATAAATTGATGAAAAAACATTGTGTTGAGTAGAAAATAAAGCACTGTATGCACCACGGGGATTTTAAGATTATAATGCCCTTCAGGCAAAATATATCCCTCGGACCAAAGACCCTCGGGATTGTTTCGCCTTCGGGCATTATAATCTACATAATTCCCTTGGTACATGAATAGCTATTACTATTAACTCATAAAGCACATCAAGGTGTTAATGCGTGTCAAAATTCGGCTAGAGATGCAATCTACTGGCCTGGTATTATGGATGATATTGAAAACTATGGTCTTTCATGTTATATATGTCAAAATTTTTCAAAAAATAATCCCAGACAACCAATGACTTCTCATGAAATTCCAGATTATCCTTTCCAAAAAGTAGGCACAGATTTCAAATATTTTAATGGAATTGACTTTCTTGTAGTTGTAGACCATTTCAGTAAATTCTTGATAGTAAACAAACTTCAAAATAAAACGGCAAATTCTGTAATATCTACAATGAAAAAGTTATTTACATTACAAGTGCGTTTATGAACAAGATGAACCGGATGAAACATTTATCAAAATAAAAGTGCAAACGAGGTGAACATACGCTTTAAAGCTCTTCTTTTGTCTGATTTAAGGTTTTGTAAAACACTTGACACTATATCACATCTTTAATGTTATAATGTTCGATTAGGATTGTTTACATTTGTTCTGCAACAATACAATCTGGCTGCACGGCAGCCACGAGTTGCGCGCGCATGTCATCTTTTATTACTTTCTAACTTGTATTTATGACAAGTAAGCTCTCTTTTTCTATTTATGCGAGATAGGTCTATTCTTTCCATTTATTAGTTCTTGTCTACCTTCATTTTACCTTTACAGGTTTAATTTTGACATTTGTCAATTCACCAAAAATAGTTGTGTTATGAATTCATAACCTAGTCCATAACATCACTGTTCTGTTATGAGTCTCATGACATGACTCAAATACTATAAGGTGAGTTCGGCTTGGCAACTCTTTTGACTCCTTTGACCCTTTTAACTGGAAAATCGTTCGGGTCACGCCACTGGGAGCAAATAGTGCAAGCTCCTCATCGTTCGGGTACAGCCAAGTAGAGTGAAAAGAGTTAACTCCACAAGCACCACCTCGAGAGATGAAGCTCGAGGAGCGGGCATGCGCACTTCCTATATTCCCAAAAGGCGGTAAAATTTAAGCAATATCCGCAAAAACACATATTTCGGTTTGTGATGGGAATAATCTCTCGTTCTTAGTAATGAAAAAATGCTAATACAAGGAAAAAGCAGTAAATTTCTAAGGTAAATAACTGTTTTTATATTACTTTA